AGTGTGATGTCCTTTCCCAAGGACTGCTCCTTCCTAGTCACATATCCAAAGTAAGGGAGATGAAGTCTCCACCTTTGCTTCCGAGGAGCACCCTGGATGCACTTCCTCCACGAAAGGTTTACTTGTTGTTTTGGAAGTCCATGGGGTCCATGGGCTATTTAGTATTCTTCACCAACACCCAGTCCAAAGGCTTTAATTCTTCTGTGGTCTTCCTCATATACTGTCGAATTTTCACATGCATATGAAGCAAGTGAAAAGACTATCTATCTATGGCTTGGGTTGGGAATATCTCAGGTTTTAAAGAGGTTCTTGGCAGCAGATCTGCCCAATGCAAATTTTCCTGAATGCTGCTTCCATGGGTGTTGATTGAGGAGAATGTGATTGAGAATTGTTTAGAATGGATCCTTGGGAACTTCAATCATTTATTGTCCATTTCCCATGATATTGCCTATTGGTCAAGTACTGGGATTTTTGTTTTCTTGATGTTGAAGTGCAATCCAGAGAGAAGGCTAGTAAAGTCTTTGATCTTTTTGTAAGTGCTTCAAGTTCTCATCACTTTAGCAAATAAAATTGCACCATCTGCATAACGTAGGTTGTTGGTGAGGCTTTCTCCGATCCTGATGCCATATGTTTCTGCATATAGTTCAGCTTCTTAGATTATTTGCTCAGCATGCATATCGAATAACTCACTCTCTCACTGCTGGTGAGTCGGAAATGACTCACAGCTGATCCTCTAGCAAGTTTTTGGAAGGTGTAAAATGCATGGGAGGAGACTGATGGAGTCAGACCATGAGAGAGGCACCACCTTTCAGTGACCAGCACAGCTCCCATCAAACTGAAGGTTGTTGTTAGGTGTCATTGAGTCGGATCTCCCACTTGCCTTTGGGTTGGCAGCACAACTCCTTAACACTAGGCCACCAGAGCTCCCACATACTGATCAGATATGGTGGGAAGATACAACTCCGACACACACTTTTCCTGATTTTAAACTGTGCAGTATCTCTTGGTTTTCCTGGTCTATAGGCTCTGCAAGAGAACAATTAAGTTTTCTGGAATTCTTACTATTCTCAATGTTATTCATAATTTATTGTTATTGATATAATTGAATGTTTTTGTAAGTAAAATAAAAGTAAACTTCTCTCTGGTATTCTTGGCTTTCAGCCAAGATCCATTTGACATCAGTTAATGATATTCCTCGTGTAATAGACTTTTTAGACTCCATCTTGCAATTTTGAAGTTCCCTTGGAGATGTACAATACTAGTCATTTCTAAATAATCTTCAGCATGATTTTATTTGAGTGATTTTAATGATATTGCTTGATAATTTCCACATTCTGTTGGAACACTTTTTTTTTTAATGGAATGAGATTAGGATCTCTTCCAGTTGGTTGGCCAAGTACCTGTCTTCCAAATTTCTTGGGGCAAATGAATGAGCATATCTAGGGTTGCTTTGTTTGATGAAACATCTCAATTATTATCATTAATTCCTGGAACACTGTTTTTTTGCCAATCACTTTGGTGCAGCTTGGGCTTCTTCCTTAAGTATCACTCTTTCTTGGTCATATGCTACTTCCTGAAAAGGTTCTGTTGACCAATTCTTGGAACAGTGACTCTTGTACATTCCTTCCATCTTCTTTTAAGATTCCCTTTATTAGAAAGTGTTCCTTGGAGGCAAGGATTACAAAGCTCCGTCTCACATACTCTAAACATGTTGCTAGAAGAGGCTATTCCTTGGAGAGGACATCATGCTTGGAAAGGTGGAGGGTCAATAAAAGAGAAGACTCTTGAAGATATTGACACAGTGACTGGAGCAATGGGCTTAACTCTGCCGGAGATGAAGATGGCACAGGAGAGGACAGGGTTCAGATCTACTATTCATAGGGTCACTATGAGTCCCACTCAACTCGATGGCACCTAACAACAACAACATTAGAAAATGATAGAAACAAGGAAGAATCCTCTCTAGAGCCTTAAAAGAAGCATGGCTCTGTCAGCATCTTGATTTTGGATTTCCGATCGCCAGAACCAGGAGAGAACAAATCTGCTGTGTTAGCCACAAAAGGAGCCCTGCTGATCCCAGGGTATGCACTTGGCTGCTAACTAAAAAGCTGGAAGCTTGAGTCCACCAGCTGCTCCATGGAGAAAGGCAGGGCAATCTGCTTCTATAAAGATTACAATCATGTAGTTCTATTATATCCTATAGGATTGCTGTAAGTTGGAATGGAACTCACAGAAACCAACAACTTGTGGTAATTTGTTACAGCAGCTGCAGGAAACTAATACATTGTCCAGCAGTTTCTAGCCGGCTTGGCAATCATGAGGGTGGAGGCTGTGGGGGACCACCATCCCCAGAAAACTGCCTTGTACCTCCCCCAGTGGTTTCACAGTTAACAGTTAATTAATAGGTAAGCACTCAGCTTTAGCTATCCACTCACCACAGGCAGAAGCGAGGTCTGCCCACAATGGCAGGGACTGGCACAAACTCCCCAGCATTAAGTGCTCCTTGCCAAGAAGGCTCTTCATCAGAGCTCTGCTCCCTGTGCCCCAGGCTGAGCTGTGGAGGTGCCTGTCACAGTCACCCTTTTCTTGTAATCATCTGTGCTGTGGCAGGATGTGACCAGCTTTTGCTCTGACATGCAGGTCAGCAGTTAACAGTTATCCTGAGAAGAGTATTTGGGGACATGGGAACAAGTCTGACTGAAGGGAGCCTGGCTTTGGTCCTCACCACCATCCACCCACATGGATGGGTCTTCTGGATCTTGGGTAGCCCAACTGTCAACTGCAGTTCAAAAACCTAAAATTCTGGCCAAGTGAGAGGAGAGAATAATGTTTCCAAAAGCAGAATGATGCTCACTTAACACCCAACAGGTTAGCCTTTACCTTAAAAACATGATCCATAGAAAATCAGTCAGCAAGACCTCACCAAAATGAGGTACTCTGGCTCTGCTAAACTCTCTGCTGAGAGGAAAAAAAGGTCATTTATGGATTAGAGAAAGTATCTGAGAAACAAACACATAACACAGGCCTAAAAAGACTCAAAACTCATTAGCATCGAGTCAGAACCGACTTACAGCTGACTCTCAAGTGGGTTTGTGGAGGCTGTAAATGCTTGGGAGGAGACTGCCCATCTTTCTGCAAAGACCACCACAGAAGTGATGTTTTTGGATTATCAGAGTGATTCCACCCAGACTACACCACTGGAGCCCCTTTAACAAAGGACTAACTACATGGAGTGACTAAGAACTCTCAAAGTCAACATTAAACCTTTACCCAATTTGAAAGTGGATCCTGAAGACAGGGCAATAGTGAGCATAGGTCAATGGTGATTAATTTATGAAGCAATGTATAGGAATGATCGTATGAAACACCACGTGAATGAAGGAATATGTGAAACACAATATCCACGAATGAAACATAATATATAATATGAATTTTGTATGCAAACCAACCTCTCTCTCTCTCTCAATATATATGACATGTGTAGACATTTTACCCAAGAAGACATGTTATCATTGGGCCAATTCTGACTCAAGGCCACCATGTGTGTCAGAGGAGAACTGTACCCACCAGGGTTTCAATGACCGTGACTGCTCAGTAGATTACCAGGCTTTTCTTCTGATGTATTTCTGGGTAGAATTGACAACCCTTTTGATTACTTTGTGCCACCCAGACACTCCTAAAGAGGCTGTATGGATGACAAATAGGCACAAGGTCTCCAACAGCATTAGCTGTTAGAGACATGTAGATAAAAGCCCAATGAGATAGCTCTACAGCCCTAAAAGAATGACTGAAATAAGCAGTAGTGAGAACACTACACACTGGAGCCGATGTGGACAAACCAGACCACGGGTGCACTGCAGGTGGCACCGTAAAATGGTATAGCCCTTCTGTAAAACAGCTTGGCAGAGCTTTTTAAAATTAAAAGTGGACTTACCATATGGCCCAGCAATTGTACTCTAGGGTACACAGTCCACAGAGAGGAAAACTAATCTTCACACAGAAATTGTACATAAATGCTTACACTAGATTTGTAAGTCTCAAACTGGAAACTACCCTGATGTCCTTCAACAGATGCATGATTAAAATGCCACAAGACACAAACACTAAGAAATACTACTCTGCAGTGAGCAGAAGCAGGCTCTGGATAGTTCCAACTCAGGCAAGCCTTGAGGAAATACTACCTCAAAGTCATTGTCAACAGAATATATAACATTCATGAAACAAAATCATTATAGAGCTGGAATACAGAAGAGTGGTTGCCAAGATAGCGACGGAGGATCGGCAGTGTTTCCTTCAGCTGTATGTAAGGTCTTTATTAAGTTACAATGATAGGTATTATTTTCTTTACTTATCTATTATTCTATCTGATCTTCTAGAAAAGGTAGGCCTCATTACCTTTTGTAATTAAGAAAGCAAGTCTATGATTGAGAGTCTAGCTGAGAATTTGTGGCATAAGCCCTCCAACTGGGTGCAGGGTGTGAGCAAATGTTTGCTGCGGTCCGAGGCTGGCTCCTTGCACTCTTTGCTCACCCACTTTCTCATCACCGCCGCCCCCTCCACCTTTCTTCCCTGAGGGACGGCTCCCTGTTCTATCTCCATCAGGCTACAGAGAAGCAGCTGCAGGTGAAGCCTGCTACCGGCAGGACCTGCCTGTTCAGTTAGCTCCAAACCCCAGCTCCCGCTGTCCCTGAGGACAGTCAATCTCCAGTTGAAATTTCAAACTCAATTAGTACAGAGACAGGCGGGAGCAGTTCTTGAGCAACTAATCATCTTAAAGCTGCCAAGCCCGTCCTTTACCTGGGATGTGCCCATGAACTTTAAGGCTTATCTATTCAAGTACTATTAATAGGGAGCAGCCAACCCACAATTTAAAATTCAACTTGAAAGTGATTTTCTGAGGTTCCTTCCCCCTGATTCAGGGAGCCGGAGTGGGGATGGATGGCAGGGACTGTGAAAAGAAACCTGCCTGTCCTAGAAAGTGAAGCCTCCTAATTATTCACCAAGCGGCTGGACGGCAGGCAGGTGGCTCAGCCCGTCCGGGGCTCGCTCATCACTAATGTGGAAGCACACGTTGTGCCGCCTTGACGCGTTCTGCAGACTGCACCAGCCAGGGCGCAGGTGGAGGGGTGCTGGCCCACCCTTCCCTGTCAAATGCAGAACAATTAATGCTCACAGAGCTCCCCTTCAGCTAGCTGGTGGAGATGCCAAGGCTAAGAGGTGCAGACAAGAAAGGTGAGTTGTTCACATTTTGTCCTCTACGCTCCAGACCTGCCGGTCAAGAGGAGACGCTGTCTTGGCAAGTTTGCAGCCTTCTGTGAGAATCCTAGTGGCTAAAACTGTCGTCCCTTCTCTTCCCAACTTGGGTGACCTTAAAAGGCTCTCAATTTAGCATCATGGTCCACACTCTGACACTCTTAAATGCAATGGAGGGTTTGTACATTAACACCGAAAGATCACCATTTCATGCCTGCAGCTTTCCGTCAGCGGGGTGAAGTGTGAAAACATCACTCGATACGGAAAGGCCAATTCCCAATTTAGTTCAGAAAAAAAAAAAGACCTGAACAACCTTTCATCATAGACCTCTCCTTGCTCCACTCTGTCAGTTCCTGCTACAACGGGTGTGCCCCTGATTAGCAGTAAGCTGCTCAGCAGAAAGGATGGAGCAAAGACATCACTGTGAAGAGAAGTCTGAAAGGCACAGCGGTCCCCCCTTCCCGGCTCACAACTTCTCTGGCAAGACTCAGCCAACAGAGCAGGAGCGAAAGGTCCCTCTACTCTGGAGTAGGAAGCACTGCTGTTGACTCACTACAAAGACTCCCAACCTGAATAGCAGCCCCTCTGTCTTTTGCTCTGAGAACTCTTTCCTCATCTAAAAACAGGGAAAAGGTCACACACAGACCTTTGATTAAGCATGTTCCTTACTTGACTCAGGAGAGGTGTTGAGCTGTTGTCCCAGTAATCAAACCTCACAGAAACCATACAGGCTTAGAGAGCACCTGCAGAGAGGCCACCTGACCTTCTGGGGGCACAACCCCAGCCACCCTCCTCATTTCTTTGTGCTATAGGCACTGAGGATGGTTCTAAGACCTAGTGACAGTCCCCACAGAAGCAGGTCTTCCAGTGTTCCTTGTGCCCTAAACTTGGAGGGGATCCAAATCCCCTTACATCTGAGACTCGCTCATGACTGCCTCTTTAAAGCACCAGGCAATCTGGGGTTTGGTCAACAAGCCCAGCTCCCCACCAGCCCCTCGCCTTCCCATTCCCACACTTTAAGTGCATTCTCTTTCAGCTTCTGACTCCCGACTACAGATGAGAGACTCATAGATGGAAAGGCTTTAAAGATGAAGGGATCCAACCCTGCATCTACCCCCACTCCTGGACCCTTCTTCTTACGGGATGATAGGAAAAAGGAAAACCAATTATCATGTACCTATCTCTAGTCTAGACTCAATAATTATCAACTCATGACCAATCTTGTTTAATCTGCAAATAAACATCTTCTGCAAGTGACCTCCAATATGGGATTCTCATACTTTACTTCCCCCCCCTTTTTATTTTACTAATTTTAATGAACATTAACAGAGATTTTGAATTGCCATTCATTCATTGTTGCACTTTTATGTCTACCCCCCCCCGCCCCAGTTCTCTCCTCTCTTCGAAAAGCAAAACTCCTTCATTGGTATACAATCCCCCCTGCCCCGCTCCTTCCACCCTGAGTGTACTCCACTATGCAACCTTAATTCTGGACTCCTGTGATAACCATAACACCCTATCATATATCGCTTTTAAACTGTTCAGGCTTTCCTTGTGGCAAAGGGGGAACTGGGGTTCTGGCGACGAGTCCACAAAGCATATAGAGTAGGGGTCCCTGCCCCGAGTGACTACTACTGCTTGCTGCCCTCCCTTTTTTTTTCTCAATAATCACATTCTACCTATGCTATTATTTAACATTTCTACACTGAACTAATTGGCTACATTATCACAGATGAAGAAAAGACTGAAGTTGTCATGATTCCCTCTTCCTTGGATCCACAATCAATTATCTTTGGTGCCAGTAGTCAAAATAACAAAAGACGTATTGCAATGGGAAGATCTTCTATCAGGGACCCTCCAAAGTACTGAAGAGCAAGGTTGTCAGTTTAAAGACCAAGGTGTGTCTGATTTGAGTTATGGTCTTTTCAATTACATGCTATGCATCTCAGAGTTGGACAGCGACTGGAGAAGACAGAATTGATGCCTTTGTAATGTGGCTGGAGAAGAGTACTGAATGATCCTGTGGACAGTAAAAAAAATAAACAAGAACATCTTAGAGAAACTGTGACCAGGGTGCTCCTTGGAAGCCAGAATGGTGAGGCTTCATCTCACATACTTTGAATATACTGTTAGGATGGCCCAGGCCTTGGAGAAGAACATCACACTTGGAAAGGTTGAGAAGGTGAGTGCAGTAGAGGAAAATCCTCAATAAGATGGACAGACACAGTGAGTGTAATGACGGGTTCAAGCCTATCAGAGATGGTGAGGAGGGCAGAGAACAGGGCCGGGCTCAGGTTTATTGTTCATAGGGTCAACTTCATGGCACACAACCACAACAACAACCAGTCTCACCTTTCCACCTCAACAGATATATTTAAAATGGAAACTTTCCATTATAAGCACCACTTTCTAGAAATAGAAAGTACTTCTAATGATAACCCAGAAAGCAAAAAAAAAAAAACCAAACAAAAAACAACAACAAAGTCTAAATTCAACCTAGAAACTATTGCCCGGCCAAGGCTCTGCACTCAAGGCCTGCTGCTTTCTGTTAAGAGCAGAGGTGAGTGGAGGTGAGAGACCTTGGGAGCTGCAAATGGTCAACACCACCTTTGGCTGATAACAAAAACCCTAGACGCTTGAGTTCATCCAAGAGCTCCTCAGAAGGGCTAATGCTCTACTTCTGCTAAGCCACCCACAGAAAAGCCTGTGTTCAAGCTCCGTTCTGACACACAGGAGATGCCAAGAGTGGGGATCAGCTCAATGGCAACTAGTTAGAGACCTTTTGTCCCTGGGGAGGCTCTCCCTGATTGTTGTAATCTGAAGAATGAAAACAGATGCAAATCTTAACCGCTTCCTTATGATGTGATCAGATATTAGCATCATTTCATCAATTCTCAGATGGGTATTTTCCACATCTTAACATCTCTGGTGTGAGTTTTCAGCCAGCTGGCAGTCAGGTCGCACTTGTCAGTGCCTGCACCCGCTCCAGTGGGGTCAGAGCCACTCCCATCGCTGCTGCTACCAGTGCACTAGGCGCTGGTACTGGCCCCCGTCAGTCTCTGTGCCGTTAAACATCTTCACAGAGATGCCACCCTCTCAGCACTCAGATGACAGCACACTATTATACACCCAGAGGATGATGGGCATGAGAGCCACAAGGAAACTTGCTATCAGGGAGGATGTCCTCAATTCCCTATTTTCTTGCAAAGCAACAAACAACAGCCTTGAAAGACCAAAGACAGGACGATGCTTACAAGGCAATGAAGCTGTTATGTGTTGTTACTGGAAGTCATGTAAAAGGATCGCCTGGTACATGCTAAATGATAAAACTCTAGGCAGACGGAACTGCCAATCCCCTTGGAACAGATAAAAGAGATTTCAAAGCCACGAGAGGCTGGGGAGACTGATTCAGGTGCCGTGCGGGATTATCATTAAGGCTTGTGCACGGTTTAATTGGCAGCCTGTTGTCTTTCTGAGTATTTTCTAAAATAACGGTGCATCTTATAGGTGATAACATCTTAGAATTGAGGAATTATGGTTGAATCTAAAACCACCCCCCACGTGTAAGCATTCCAGTATGACACCCCACTGCCTGTCACCCCACTTTTCCAAACTGGGTGTTGAAAGTGTTGTCAGTTCTCTATTAACAGTGATTCCCAGACATGCTTGGGCATCAGTAATCAGGCAGGGGTCAGGAGGTGGGCTGTGGGGGATGTTAAGAAACAGATTGCTAGACCCCTCCCCCAGGGTCCATGGTGCAGATGAGAATCTGGATTTCTAATAAGCTCCTACAATGCTGAGGCTGCTCTATTGTATTCTGAGTAGCACTACTGGGGGCTGACTTGAAAGGAGCTAAAAACATCATCCCAAATGGAAAGAACCCCGAACAAATCCATTGGTGTTGAGCTGGTTCTAACTCATGATGCCCCCATGCATTATAGACAAGAACTGTTCCAGGAGCTCTGGTGGCCTAGTGGCAAGAAGCTACACTGCAATCCCAGAGGTGAGCAGTTTGAATCCACCAGATGCTCTGCTGGAGGAGGGACAATCTCCTCCTGTACGAGTCAGATCTGATTTGACAGTACAAACACACAAAATAATAAGATTAAAAAAAAAATAAAGGAACAACAAAAACACAACTGCTCCAAAGGGCTCTTGACTGTGGTCTTCATGGACGCTGACCACTAGACTTCTCTTCCATACAACTCTAGGGTGGGTTTTAGCTACCAATCTTTAGCAGGTGATAACTATTTGTGCCACTCAAGGACAGTTTATGCATCAGACTCTGCTCCTTTAGGTTAAGCGAGATGGGGTTGGGTGGTCCAAAATTCAGGTTGTGAGCACCTCGTTCTGTGGACATCTTCAGAAGGCAGCATCTCTCTTGGCATCCTTCACTGCAAACAGAACATTATGTGTAGTTCAGGGCACACCAGGAAAGGCCTGGGAAGCATTCCCATGGTTCTCCAGGTTTACCCCAGATCAGCATGGGTCTTACTATAAACAGATCCGGTTTGAAGTGTTGGTGGTGAGGCCCCAAATGAGTCACACAGAGAAGGCTGGGATCTGCCTCACAGAACCACTCAGAACGGAGCCCTGGGCAAGCGCGTCAGGCATGCCCGTCACTCCTGCTCACTCGTTCTCCAGCTGGTCAACGTAGGCAGGTTCCTTTCTTTTTGGTGTGTTACCTGATTTAGCTAAAAACAAGGAAACAAGAGAACGAACCGTGTCCTCCTCATCGTGCCAATAAAAGAACAATCTATTTTCAAGTTGCTAAAACTTTTTTTAAAAAGTTGGTTATCTGCCAAAATGGCCCTGTACCCTGAAAGCAGGAAGCAGATCCTTAAAAAAGAACTAGGCTTTAGACGTAGACAATACTATTTTTTTCTTCAAAAGGCTCAGATTTGCTCATAGAGTCACTGAACTTCATTTTCTAAGTGCTACAAGAAACAGGAGACAAAGCCTTATATCCTCCATAGAAAAGGTTTATTTTTTACAAAAATAAGTTACCAGCATGTTAGCATGCTCACAGAGTGCTCATCCACATGACAGTCCCCAAAAGTGACCTGAGACACAGATCCAGAAGGAGACTAAAGAAACTGCCATAAACTTCCTTAGACTGTGCTCTCAAAAGGTCCACTTTGCTGTTCACTGACAGCTAATAGGTATAATAAAATGATCAACCACAGAGAAAGAATCTTTTTTCTCAAAGATGCTCAACCTTCCTATACAATTTATTATTATACACAAGGAAGTGAGTGGCTGTATTGATATCTGAATAGTGAAAAGTCCTCGTCCAAGAGGGTGTTAGGTGGGGGTCTGCATGCCAGCCAGCCCTGGGCAGAAGGGGGCCTGGATGGGGCTACTGGCGGCAAGTATCATGGAAGGCTTCGAGGGTGCGGAAATCCCTCCACGTCGGGGGAAGGCCGTCTTGCAGAAACTTCCCGCAGCGCTGGCATGGGGCCTGGAACAGCTTTATGTAACTTCTTAACCAGGTCTAAAAAGAGAAATGAGAAAAAAAATGAAAGAAAGGGGACCTGGGTGTTTCCAATGTCATCCTTCCTATCAAGCCCAATGAGGTCCAGGGCAGAGAACAGTAAGCTGGCTTTGACTCCCACGGACACCCTGTGATCTTACAGCACAGTGCATGCAGAGCACACAAGGTCACCACACTGCTGATTTTCAATTCTGGTCTCCCCTTGCCCTCCTAGCTGAGGGAGTTTTTAAAATAGAAATTCATACTCTCCAGAGCAGCAAATGCTCCCTGAGGAGTCACCATGAACCACCACAGAGCCTATGGCTCAGGGGGCAAATGCATTTCATCTTCTGCGTCCTGTGCCTTCTGAATATTAGTATTGATTCTCTTCTCCTTGTTCACTACCAAGAACTGGCCATGGTCATGTGCTATAAAGAAGACGTCTTATAGATGACGGTTTTAGAGTTCACCACTGAGGTCAACACACCTTTTCTCTAATCTGATTTCAGAGGTCATCACTCACTGTCACAGCATGGCCTCACGCACCTGTGGGGTGGGCAGGGACAGCCTGGCGCTGCCGGATAACGCAATAAGCAGTCAGCACACCCGGAGGAGTTCAGAGAGCACAGTTCTTTTGGGCATCATACATAAGGATGAGGCTCACATAACTCAATTCTCAAACTCAAGGAGATCTGCTACCAAATAATAATAATAGAAAACATCAAAACCAGCTAAAACTCCCAAACCTCTGACAACACGCTACTAATAATCCACAGCAGCAGCAAGCTCTCCCTGCGAAAGGGGCACATGACTCTCATCATTTACTGTCCTCCTGAACTACGTCGATAAGAGAAAACTGCTCCCTGAAGAGGTCGACTGAATTTATTGATAAAAGTCCTCCTCTCTTTATTACATACAGCTGCCTTCGTAGTGGCGCAGCCTGGACATCAATACTGTCCCAATTCCACAGGGCTAGGTTTTTGTGAGGTTTAGGCAATGAGCACAAGGAGGTCAATGCATCTTTCAGCTACACTCTTTACCCTTCAGTGCTGATAAGATTCAAATTCTCCAAAAATCCAGAAGGCAGTGACCGAAGGGAAACTAGGCATTAAAACATGTTAGGTTAAAAAGCAAGTCTTAATATGTGTCCGAAAATGAAGCTTTCATGGAAGATCGTTATTGACTTGCTCTCTAGATACATAAAAGAACCAAGATATGGACAACTCTGTTGGGCACCTGGGTTTGCTTTGTTCAACTTCCCCAACACTGATAAGCCAATCAATAAGCAGCATTATGTCTTTCAAGAACTGAACAACAAATAGGCTCTCTAAGAAGCATCTGTGAAGCCCAGACAGAACGGACTGGATGAGGACTGTCCCCCTCAGCTGTCAACACTTATTTGTCCTTAGTAACAGAGGAAGTCTCTGAAGCAGGTTCCAACATCAAGAAAAAGAGTTTAGTACTTGTGAAAGATAAAACTGGGGTTCTTGTCAGGGACGAGGTGGGGAGGCCACTGGTCCCACTTTGTCCACCAGTGTCACGTGGTAACTAAGTCTGGGAAACAGTGTCTGATAAACCTGTTGCGGGTTCTCAGTACAGCATCTGCTGATTCCATGGTGAAAACAGTCCCATCAAGTTCTCTTTCAAGCTCTCATGAGCTGAACAACTGGTTCACAAAATTCTTAACATTTAACAAGAGCTGGCAAGACCCACCACTGGCATGGCTGTTTTGGGGTCACTTCCATGCTAAGTTCCACTCTGAAAATCTCAGGATTTTATGTTGTACGGTGCTGTGAGATTTTTCTCTACTCACTGCTACACGCTCGGGGCTGAGCACAGAGCCGGGTATAGCTTAAGAATTTAGTAAATATCTGTTTAGTAAATCGATGCAGAAAACAGTTTTGGAAAAACACTTCTCAAACAGATAGAAAGGATAAAAATATCAGTTAATTATGCTTGAAGTGGCTTTCCCAAATATCATATCCCTGAGCATTTTTAAAAAGTGTCAGTTCTAAACTGGGGAGCCCCATCTTCAACTATATGGCCCAAAGAGCTCAGAGAAGTCATGTCCTCACAATGAGGGAGCTGAGGTTTAAATGAGAGATATGTCTCTTACAGTCACTTACCATGAAGGATCTGACCACGACATCTGGCATCTGGGGCAGCTGATAGTGCAGCAGGGCAGTGGTGGCGTGGTCTGTCACCTGTGAACAGAAGAGAGTGACTGGAGTTAGAGAAGCCATATCAAACCTGCACAGAGAAAAATCAGTGCCTATTTTCTATGTGAAAACCCAATCTGCTTGTAAACGTCTCCTGGAAGAAAGGACATCTAAAATAAAATCTGAAGTCACAGAAATTAGGTAGCAGAGTTGGGGGGTAGGGAGAAGGAAAGGGAAAGGTGTGTTGTAGGCAGAAAGGAATGAGGGTACAGGCTTGAGGGCAAGAGGAATATGGAATATTCTAGCAACAGAAAACTGAGACAGGCTGGAGCTGGCTAGGGGTGCAGTAAAGGGGGCAGAGGCAAGTCTGGAGAGGACCAGATCAGACAGGTTCACAACCACATCGCTGAGTGAAACAGGACACGAATGCAGAGGAGCATTTTGCATGTTTTACTTCATCTGTAGACCAGAACCATTCTTCTCACAGGCACTGGTATCTCTCTACTTCTTTTAATTCTGTTATAACTTTTGACCACACAGCATTTATGATAAAAAAATCTGGTATTCCTGTTAATCTTCCCCTTGGGCCTCAGTGATCTTACTACCACCTTTCTGAAGAGCTTTACCCTTCAAAGTATCCAGCCTCTAGCCAGCTCTTCAAAGGGGCCTGGGCTATTACTAGAACCTCGGCAGGCCACACCCATTCTCATAATTCCACAGTAGAGACCTTATCAGCAAGGCCAATGGTGAGACTGCCAAGCTCACTAGAGGCAGAAGAACTGAGGGAAAGAACACCTAGGTTAAGTCTCAATATCCTCCTGTGACCTAGATCCAGTTATGTAACTTCTCTCTGGGTCTCAAAGTCCCTTCTGAGAACAAAGTGACTGGTCTAAGATCCCTTGTAGTTCTAAAATTTGACAACATCATGAATTGCTAATGCCTGTCATCACTCAGGGAATTTACAGATTGTACCTAATTGGATAGTTGTTTCATACTAATAATTAATTTATTGGATTGTCCCACTAGAAATTTTGGCATCCCAAATACTGTGGTTAAAAAAATAAAACAGAAAAAAAAAATCCCTCCAGATAACATCCTTACCTCTAAGAACAAGAATGAACATGGGTCTAATTCTGTAGCTTCTCCTGTGTTTCAGCCCTCCTCAGCCACAGGGTCTAATTCTGTAGCTTCTCCTGTGTTTCAGCCCTCCTCAGCCACAGGGTCTAATTCTGTAGCTTCTCCTGTGTTTCAGCCCTCCTCAGCCACAGTGTGATGTGTTAACAGACTGAAGCAGCAGTTAAACTAACTACCAGGCAGAACCTACAAGTGTGGGTCCTGGCCTCACAGGGTGAAGTGAACATGACTCCAGATACTATTCTGGTGATACATTCACACATTTGGCCAGAGAAGCTGACCGACAAAATGTGTGGACCAAAGGCTTTGCAGCCAGCAAGGTGGGCTTCGTTCCCGGCTCCCCGGTTTATAGTGGGGTAATCTCAGTCCCTTCCGGAACCACGTTAAGCCTCAGTTTCCTCCTCAATAAAACGGAGACTATAGAAAAATACAATGTAGAAGGCTGGTAAGAGTGCAGATGGAGACCAGGCATTTGAATGTATTACTTTCGAGCAAGAATGTCAGTTAGCCATGATTGCCCACACTTCCCTTTGCATCTTGGTCCCTGGGGCACTCCCTTTCTTGCCTGGTGAGCCCTGCTAAATGATGAGCTCTGTAAGGGCAGGGGTTCCCCAGGTCTAGAATATCACCATCTGGCATAAAAAAGGTAATCAATAAATATTTGCTAAATAACATTAAAGATACTCACTCGCCAGAGGCTATATACAACAGACAACTGCAGTGGCTTTCTTGCAAATAACAGTAATAGATCATGTATTTGAAAATGTTAAGAAATATTCAGCCAAGTACTTATTCTTCTAAGTGATAAGTCTTTTTATTTCAAGCATCACTGATAGACAGTTTTCTAAAACGAGCAATGAATTAAAAAAAAAAAAAGTAATAGTAACTTTGCACTGGCTGGCAGTGATTGGTGGAGTCAAACCAAGGACTACCAAACAGCAGAGCCAATGGTACCCATAGCAGCCAGCTCCTGGCTACAGAAAAAATGTCCAAGTCCTGTCTGGGCTGAGAACACACATGCCATTAGCAAAGAAACAGGGTTTGGTGTACCGTTTCGAGCTAATGCTGAGCTGCGCTCCCATCAGTGCACCAGCACCATGAAGGCAGAGCAGTGGGGTCCGCAGTATTGACTCAGCTCTGCCCACCACTGGCCAGTGCTAGGCGCCGATGGCTTTTTGGAAGATGATGCTTGAACTTACCCCTAATCTGTCCTGCTCTGCAAATTTCATGGAAATGTGCTTGTTGTTGTTGTTGCATGTTTTTGAGTAAATTTTGACACACAGGGACCCTCTATGTAACCATCACTGACAGGTGGCGCCTGTGTTTTAGGAACTGAATCCCCAGCTTATGCATGGAAGGTAGGAGTTCTAGCACTGACCACCTGTGCTTCTGAAAATGCACAACTAATATTTTAAATGACCCATTTAACATAACTCAGATTTCTTGATTAAACCTCGAAGTTCTGGGGACAGTAACAATACCCCTTTCTCAAAGGTGGGGGGATGACGACGACACAAGGCTTGGCTGCTAATAGTCACTGTAACTATGCCTTGTTACCTCCTACCCCTTGATCTCACGTATCCAAACGGCCCCATCAGCTGGAGCCAGCGGGCAGCTCTGGACGAGGCAGGCGCCTGCAGTTTCCCGAGTTCCTCCTGTCTGACTCATGTTACTACCTGCTTGGTTAATGACTCTCTCCAAACACTGACATGAATTTCTGTCCTCAAGATGTCCTAAACCTGTTCCTTCCATTCCCCAAATGTCTTAGCATTCCGATCTATATCTGAGTTCACTTTCCGTGAATTAACCAACCTGTGGCCATCTCACCCTCCTGTAGCCAATGGCTGGACCTGACCTCTCCCGGCTAAGCTCAGATTCTCCAACATCCAATGAGAATGTTTTTTTTTTTGTCTTGGTTTTTGAATAATGGTTGATTTAAAAAAAATTTTATTAATTTTAATGAGATTTTTTTTTGGGGAAGCAGAGGACTAGTTCCTTCTTGTGAGGTGAACCTGAATTTCCTTCAAGTCAGCAGCCAATCATGGCAAGAGTCTGCACCACCCAGGGACTCCTAAACAGGGTTTTGATAAATGCAAGGGACAGTTGTTATTATTGTTAGGTGTCCTCGAACTATGACCCAGAGCAACCCTCTGAACAAGACAACCTACTGCCCCATTCTGGCCAACCTCATGATCTCCAACATGCTTGGCCCACTGCTACAGCCATTGTGCCAATCCATCTTGTTGAGGGTCTTCTTCTCTTTCTCTGACCCTCTATCTTTGCCAACAGGATGCTTTTTACCAAGCACTGGCCCCTCCTGACAATGTGCCCAAAGTATGTGAGATGAAGTTTCACCGTCCTTGTCTTGAAGGAGCTTCTCCTTTGAGACAAGGGGCTAGATAGACCCAGGCAATTTATAACACCAGTTACATAAATATTTAAAGTACCCTTGTTGCTGCTTTCCAGTTGGAACCAACTCATAACTGACCCTCCAGTAGTGGGTTTTCAGAAGCAGTTAATCACATGGGAAGAAACTGCCCATCCTTCTCCTGTGGAAGAGCTGGTGGATTTGAACCTTGTACCTTTGTGACCGCCATGCTGCTTTTTACCACTAGGCCACCAGAGCTCTCTAAAGTACTCTTACAAAATTGGTTTTCTTTCAGTGTTTTCACAGTAAAGGAAAACATCAACCATCCTCAGTTGTCCACATTAGAAACCTGGGCTTAGCCCTTATTCTGCTTCTCATTCTCAAGCAGTCCACAAGTGGCCAAATTCCAAATTCTTTATATTAAATTCCTGTACTTCCTATCTCTACTGTTACTTCCTAGTCTCTTCTGCCATCTTTCCCTGTGGGACCAGGGGGAGACCCAGAGAGCACTTCTACTCCTGCTCTTTCCGGGCCTTTCTCAGTGGGTGGTCAGAGTGACAGGAGCAGCAGACGAGGCTCAGGATCTGAGGAACTACATGTGAACCTCAACTCCATCCACTTCTTTCAGCAATGCAATCTTGAGCAAGTCACTTAACCTACTGTAGCTACAATTTTCCCATCTAGAAAATGGAGAGAATAACAGAGTGCCTACCACACGGGATAACTATAATAATGTTAAAATATATGCTGTTCAATAAGTACTATTAGTAAAATGTAAATCTAACCATGACTACCTGTGTCTCCCTTCCCCCCCCAACCAAGCCCCTTCCTTATAGCATCTGAATGCACTTATTAAAGCCTGTGAACATCAACTGGAGGCCCTGCATTACCTGGGTCCTGCCTCTTCTCGATCGATCGATCGTTATTCAGTTGTGAACGTGTCACAGTTACTTAAACGTTTCCTATTGTTCAGAACTAGCCCCTCTACCTGGACCTCGCACCTTCCTCTCTTTCCTTGTCTTCAGCCTCCTCCTCATTCATCTTCTGGGCTTTCCCTCTGTGGGAGAAATTACTCATGCCTAACAACAATCCTGCTGGGTTCTCTTCACCTTCCTGAGAACAGTGGATAATTTCCCAACCTCTCCGTTGTCAGGTTAGGCTAAAGGGCTTTAAGTGCAAGTGGCACAGGTTACCTTCACAGGGAGACAATAAGAAGGAAGTGTGAATTCCCCTGGCTACCTTGGAAAAGAAACTTTTTTGGGGTTAAACTACTAAGACTTTGATGTTCTTCTGTTGCTGCAACAAACAATACTTCTCTTATTCAGACTACTGTATTTTCTTTGACTTTTTTATTCACCTATTAAATGTATCCATGGAGTTTGCCAGGTCTATGACTTCTGTAAGGGAGCTCTTCCCCCCCCTTTTTTATATTTCTTTTAATAATTTTAATGAACATTTATAGAGATTTTGGATTTCCATTCATTCATTGCTGCACTTCTCTCCCCGCCCAGCCCCTCCACACCCCCCGCCGCAGTTCGCTCCT